AGAAGAAGAAGAAGAAGAAGAAGAAGAAGAAGAAGAAGAAGAAGAAGAAGAAGAAGAAGAAGAAGAAGAAGAATCCTTGTTTGCATTGTTTTAAAGACACTTATGAGGAACACAAAGAGGAGACCTATTTGGTCATCCCTGAGGCCTCCAGATTGCATTCTGGGATTATTTTTCCAGCCAGAGTGTAAAAGGCTTTTGACTTTCCCCACTCAAAATGTAAAGGCAGGCAAGTCTACTGCAGGGGAGCCAAGCCGGAAGGCAGCTAGCACATATCACTGCATTTCTCTGGCATCCTTCTCTCGAGCCTCCCTTTAGAAATGTCGAAGTCTCTGCCGAATAATCACTAGTTAATGAATTCATCAAGCAAATGAAGAAAGGTGCTGACATTCAGGCAGACAGAAGTCATGGCCGTGAGATAGGAGCAGCCAGGCACGCACACACCGCACAGAGACGTGGGGCCGGGGTGTCGTGTTCCCCACCTGACGTTCTCATAGCGATGGATGTAGATCCGATGGAACTGGTGCTGCAGGTGCTCGTCTTCCACATTCGTCATGTCATTGATCATTTCCAGGACGACAAACCGGGGGAGCACGGACAGCACGAGTCGCTCCTGCAACAGAGCATGAAGAGGGACAGCCTGGTTAGCCAGGTCACTGAGTCTCGGATGGGTGGGTGGACAGGGGAGAAGCCATGGGGCTCTTCACTGACTTTCTCGAGAAATTGCTAATTTCACACCATTCTATAAACATGACAGATATCTACTGATTACTTGTCATTTTCCAAGCAGTGTACTGGGTGTTGGGCGCACAGTGGTGAACCAAAGAGACGGGGGGACCTACTGTTCTGGAGCTTGTATCGTAATAGGGGAAACGGACATTAAATATTGCACACTTACAAAATGTGACAAGTGCCATGCAAAACCAAGTCTTGATCAGAGAGCACAATGGTTGACAACATGATTCAAATCAGGGCTTAGGAATGACCTTTCTAAGGAACTGATATTTAAATTGATATGTGAACGTTTCGAATGAGCCAGCCAGGTGTAGAACAAGGAGAAGGAAGCGCCAGGAAAAGGAAACAGCAAGTGCAAATGTCCTGAGGCCAAAAAAAAGAAAAAAAGAAAAAAAAAGCGCCATGGTGTGGCTGGAGGGTGGTACTAGGTGTGGCAACAAGCGATGAGACTGGAGGTGGAGACAGATCTTACAGGCCCTCGTAAGGTGTTAGCATTTCATTTCAACTATACCTGGAAGCCACTAGGTGGTACTAAGCAGAGGAGTGATATAAACAGATTTACATTTTACAAGACCATCCTGGCTGTGGTTTGGAGAATGAATTGTGGGGCAGGAGCAGCTGGGGAGGCTCCTGCAGTGGTCCAGGGGAGAGGTGATATGGGATAAGACATATAGAATTGGCAACCAACTGAGATGGAGGAGAGAAAGAGGGCATAACCATGGAGATGGCGAGATTTTGAGTTTGGTTGATGGAAAGAATGTGCTGTGTTTACTGAAACAGGGAATATGTGCAAGAAACCAGGTTTAGGAGGCACTGCCTCTTTATTAAAAGGAGAGGAAATGAGACACACACGGTCTGCAAGTAGGGACCTAACGTTTAACAGGATAATATTCTTCCATTGTGATCAACATGGCAGGTCAAAAAATCAGAACAACTGGTCAACCAGCAACATAACTAAATCCTAGAAAGACAGCATATTTTAGGAACTGGGCAAAAATCTGGCTCCTTTGCTATATAGTTCATTTGAGTGTGGAACTGAGTGTAAGACGGGTGCATTCTAATCATGAGAGTTTCTCATCTCTTCATAGTTGTTTATGAATCTTAAGCATTGTCACCATGCATTCTTTCATTCATTCCTCACAGGCCCCTGAAAACAAGCAGGCACAAATAAGTTTCTTCATTTAACGGACAGACGGAGGCTAAGAGAGGTTCAATTGCTTGCACGACTTGAACGGTTACCAAGTGGCAGTGCCAGGGTGCAATTCTTCACCATGTTATTCCTCGATGGGATTCTGGGTGAAATGGGAAAAGCCCTGGGTTTTGATTCTGGCGGGACGTTGGAACCTGCCTCCATTGCTTCACCGTCAGGTAGCATGAGCTGAGCTCCATCATCTCTATGCCATCCGTCTCTAATTTGGCAAAGAGCAGTGACACCACCTGCTTCACAGGGCTGCTGTGAGAATGCAATGAAATAAAAGATGTCGTGGACTGGTGTTAAGTCCCTTCCTTCTCTCTGCTCTCCTGAACCCTGCTCCCACGCAAAGGGCTTTGTTAATGAAGTGCCATGCCCCTCTCTTGAAAGCTGTCTCACTGTGGGACTGATAGGCATGCTTCTTGCAAATGCCCTGCGTCATGTTCACTTCCTGTTCATTAGCGCTGTCTGTCTACTTTCCAGGTACTTGAGGACCTGTTCATGCAGCCTCTGCCGAATGAGAGTGGGTGCTCATCGCGGCTTTGAGGGACATAAGTGCCTGAGAATAGTAGGTGCTAACTCAGTATTTCCTAAACAAACACAGGCACACATCACAGGCACAGACTGTGCCCAGCTCATGGGTGCACGCCCTGCAGTGGCCAGCAGAGCCCCTGGCACAGGATACATTCGTGAAGTTGCAATGCACGTTCAACCTGCAAGTATGACATCAACGCTTCAATGGGAGGCATTTTAAATACAATTTTAATAGCAAAATCCTCCAGCACCCAGGCTTGCCTGCCCCCAGCCAGTCCTGCCACTGGCGAGGGCCCCAGTTCCTCCCTTTGTAAAGCCTTTTCTGCCAGACGTGGGAGTTTGCCTGGAGTCTGCTTATGAAAGCCTATTTTCAACACTTTTGTTCCCCTCCGATTTGTTGACTCCTTGAGAAACATCATTCAAATCCCCTGAAAACACAATCTGAAAGAAAATGGGGAAGTTTGCCCCGTAATACATTTCCCCACTCCTGCTGAGGCACAATACATGCTTTTCCAGCTTTGGAGATCAGACGTAGGGGACTCTCTCCCAGGCAGACTGTGGCCCAGGGTGGCCTTTGTGCTCCCATCCTGCACATCTTTTCTCTCTGGGTTTTTTCCATTTGCATGAAAAGGGGCCCCCGGGTGGATTCCAAGTGAATCAGTGGCTCCCGTCTGGGTTTTCCTCTCATCTCATAACATGCTCTATTCATGTTATCAAAATGGCTTCACAAGCATCAATTGCTACAGTACACCCTGAGGGGAAGTCAAGGTGAAAACGCTGAGGGATTCAGGGTCTTTATTTTATGCAAATGCTTGTAGTGGGGGAAGAGAAAGGGAGCAGGGCAGCCCGCTGATGCAGGTGGCACTTCTGGGTTTACGCACAGCAGGGCTTCTGAATGGCTTCAGGAAGAACTCAAGCTCCTGCAAACTGAGCGGGCTCTGATTAACCCCTCAGCAGTGCAAGTCCTGGCACAGCTGAGAGATTTATTCTGGGGTCAAAGACAATAGCTTATTTTTATTGATCACTTACTGTGTAGCACACCACGTGGTTTCCATGGAGTATTTAATCAAAACCTCACATTAATCATAGGATGTGATAAATTACTATTTTCACCCTATTTTACGTACAAGGATACAGAGATTCAAAGAGTGTAGGTGAAATCGGGTGGCCCAGGTCATGCACTTGGTAAGTGCATGGTGGAGACTCAAGGCCATGTTCTTTTTTCCTCTGGAACTTGGATCATAACTCATCCATTTGTTCATTTATTTGCCATGTCAAGGGGTAGGTGCTATGTGATAGGTGCAGTGCTGGGCGTGGGGAATTATCAGAAAACAAAAACTGACGCGGTACTTGCCTTGTAGAGCTGATGTTCTAGAGATAATACATGGAGCAGGGTGGAGATTAAGGGGACCTGGGGGCTGCTTTAGTGGGATGGTCAGTGAAGGACTCCTCAAGGTGACTGTTAAGCTGCGACCCGAATGGCGGAGGAACCAGTCCTGTGGAAAGCTAGGGAAAGATGCTTCAGGCACAAGGGAACAGCAAGGACTGAGACTATGGTATACTGTCGCTCGTTAAATTCATTCATTTATTCACTCATTCATTCATTCATTCATTCAGTAGATTTTTACTGAGCTTCTACCAGGGGCAAGTATATTAGACGTTATGAACACAGGGGTGAGCACGGCAGATATGGTCTTGGATGACAGGCACAGGAAGTGACAGTCATGCCATCAGAGTGGTCCCGCGAATGTGGTTGGCGGGAGCTTGACGAGCACTATGACAGTAAGGCAGAAGCAAGCCCTCACTGGGCATGGGGGCAGGCAACCCAGGGGCACAGGGCAGTCTGCTCTATTAGAGCAGGTCCGGGAGCCTTGCCAGAGCTGGCAAGAGAAAGGAGGAGACGCTCGGCTTCTCACAGTTTATCATCAAGACAGAGCAAGACGGAGACCAAGTGGTCAAAACTTGGATCTGTAGAGACTAAACACTGGGTAGTTAGTTTCAGAACAAGGCGCATGCTCATCACGAGAACAGGGGCTCCCCACCCCAGCGTCCTAACCATGCAGTTATTCAGATGAGACATGCATTCCTTTGATCGTGCAGGACCTGCGCCCGGCTGCCTTCCCTACCTGGTCTGCTGAAGTGACACCACCTCTGTGAAGCGCCCCCCCTGACACCGCGAGTTCTCCTATGCTGTGCAGACCTGCCTCCTTCTGTCCTGACTGGAACCTGCATCAACCTCTGAGCCAGCACCTGTACACTTTAGAACCCTAGAAGCTCTCCTGGCTGACCTGCACTTAAGCAGCTCTGGATTACCTGATGCTGGAGCCACCTTTTTCCAGCCCCTCCATCACACACGTCAGCCGAGCAGGCCACTGCAGGGCTGGAAGTCCCCGGCTGGTAGAGAGCTCTCTAAATGTCCACAGCTTCTACTCCATCTGCAGTGCCTTGCTGACCAGGAATCACTGAGCTTTTGTTGACAAACCTAGGTATGTCAGTTTTATCTGCTAGTACACTCACACAATTTAATGAGATGTTAAATAAAAATATTTTTAAAAATAGGAATGAGCGATGCTATTTGTATGGAAATAGAATGGAATGCTTTGGAAAGACTTGATAATACTGAATAACTAAAACA